GGCAGGGGCCAGCCGCCTCTGCCCAGGGTGGGCAGCGAAGGCAGCAGCATCTCCAGGAACGATGGGCAGTGGGGTGGGAGACGAGGACAGGCCATCTGCCAGGACGTGCCTGGTGTGTCCCCGACTGCCTCCGCACCCTGGGGGTGAGCCTGTCCCAGGCAGGGAACGAGGAATTGCTCAATCCAAACTTCTGACCCAGCCAGACGGCGACTGCCAGGCTGCGGGCTGCGGGGTGCCCAGCACCAGCCCCATGTCAGCCTGGGGCCAGACGCTGGGGTAAAGGATTCTCCAGGTACAGCTGTGTATCACAGTAATCCCAGGAAGGATTAGCCCCCCTTCCAGCCTGGATGCAGTAAGGGCAAATAAAGAAAACAGTTCCCACGTTCGACAAATGGGAGACAAACACGCTCCTGTTAGATACACAGATTCTCAGAGGAGGGAGTAGGTAAAAATGAAGATAAAGTAAAAAAGAGCAGGGATTAGCAGAAAAGTAGAAATCTCTCTTTAAAAGGTAAGGCATTAATTTTCTTAATGTGCCAAGGCGCAGGAGGATCTCAAGGACAGAGGATCCTCAAGAGCTGGGAGGTTGAGGAGGAAAGCGAGGATTTCCCTGGAGAGGCTGCATGAACTGCATTAACTTCAGGAACAAGGAAACTGGTACTCGTTTTCCAGGATTGCCACTCCACCACCACCTTCACTGAAATAAATAAAATCCTGAGCCCTATTAATTTCTGGGAGCCCACAATACTCCAGCAGAACTGCATGGCCAAGTGGTGGCTGGATTTGCTGGATAGCTTTTATCTAACTCCTAAAAGGACACCTTGGGCAAGGAAACCAAAGAAGATTTCTTGCTTGGTTTATGATTTGTTTGATGCAGATATGGTCAAAGGTGAGACATCGTTGCAACCAATAATCTAACCTTTTGAACATATTTAATTAGCAATGACATTGCTGGAGGAGCCACCCAGAAACTCGCTCCCAGGCCCGGGCTGCCACAATGGGGACTGTCACAGAGGAATGAAGTCAGGGAAGCCCTGGAGCCACGCCGGGGTATGACTGCCCCACTGCCCCAGCTCTGACTCACCTCCCCTCTCTCTCTCTCTCTCCCAGGGCTCAGCTCAGCCCCAGTCAATCCACTTCACTTTCCCCCTTTTTTTTTTTGCTTACTCTCTCTTCCCCTCTTCTCCCTGCCCTGCCTCTCCGCTGCATCCCAGCTAAGGGGTTAGAAACACCAGCCAAAACCATTGTCCCTCCCTTCGCCCTCTTCCAATAAAATAAAGTAAGATGAAACAGCAAGAGGGGTTTAAAAGTTTGGGATCATTCCACAGGGCCAGGTTAGGACTTCGGGGTGGGAGCACTTCCAAGCAGGGCTGTTGCAGGGAGCGCATGGGAGGCTCATGCCCGGGGGGTCCTGGCTCTGCCCCACCACCTTCCTCCGCCTGCTGTGCTCCAGGCTGCACCAGCTACTCCAGCCGGGGGCAAACGAGCAAGGACCCACTTTCTGCAGAGTTTAACCTACGCATAGTGTCTGAGACACTTAAAGGAGGGCTTCTATGCGCAGCTTTGCCCGCAGCCTGAAGGGGAAGGTAAGGTCTGTTGGTGTGTGGCCATGAGCAGGAATGGAGGGGCAGGTCCTGCCAGTGCACCTACACTCGCAAGATGTAGCTGCACCCTTAGAGCACGTCTCCACATAAAAGGCATTCTGCATCACTGGAGGGAGAGCTCTGTTTTGATGGCTTGGGGGTGCCCCAGTGTGAGCGCGGTGCTCAGAGGGAAGATACGGACACTACTGCACCACGCGCGGTCTGGAGCCCGGTGTGAGTGCGATGCTCAGAGGGAAGATATGGACACTACTGCACCACGCGCGGTCTGGAGAGGTTGGAGCTCCATATTCACAGTGGCACCGATACAGTTGCTCAAGTGCTGTGTGTGGGAGACCAACCTGGCAACTAGCACGGCTCACTCCTGATGAACGCTGGCACGGACGGCCAGGCTGGGCGTCTGGCAGGCCAGATCCTGCACCCAGCTGCAAGAGTGCCAGAGTCGCGGTGGGAGAGGGCGGCCAGGGGCTGCCTCACACCCTGCAAGGAGCAAAGCCTCCTTGAGGCTGAGGAAGTGCCCCGAGGTCTCGGACGGGCAGTGCCATGTGCTCTCGAGGGCCAGCAGGGAGCCAGCAGGGCTGGGGAGCATTGCCCGGCAGCGTTAGCAGCAGAGCCTTACGCAGGAGCTGACCCCAGAGCAGGCAGCCAAGTAAAAGGGCTGCTGTGGGGAACACAATCCTCAGTTTTGGGGTTGGAAACGGTCATTAAAGGGTGGCTCCACTCTGACTGCACATCTCTTATTGTCACTTTACGCAGAGGCCCAATGTGGACTATCTAATCTGGGAGGATAATCTTTGTTCTGCCACTTCATCGAAGGACAGATTGTAGCAAGGATGTCACAGCCCTCGCTAGCATTTTGCAGTCTTTATCACGGTCTCTGGAGCTTCTGCACCTTCAGCCTCAATGGTAGAGACCTTCCAGAATAGACTCCATCCTGTGATTAGGAAAATGCCTCCATTTATAAAGGTGAGGACAGTCAGCATCGCACCCTGTCAGGTCTCCAGCTGCTCAGCAATGCTGTTTGCTTTGGATCTTCCCTGGAGTTTCTGCTGCCAGACAGTTTGTGAGCGAAGTGGGAACCTGAGCTGTGATGCTCAGAGAGAGTCAGAGACTTGGGGTGGACTGGATGCTGACCAGCTCTTGGCTTTGCAAAAGCAATGTGCTCCCTCTATTTTTTACTAAAAGTCTTTTTGCAACATGAGGCTTGCTCCAGCTCTATTTAAAGCCAACACAGTGTCATCACTGGATTTGAGCAGGAGCAGGACAGAGAGGATTCATGCATAGTAGGAATGTAAATATTTTCTACATGTACACCCACAGACACAGCGTATGCAATAAATACTCACTCAGCATGTCATTTGCTGTGTGCCAGATCATAGACATAATTATTGATGCAGCAGGTTTTCAGAAAGACACAACAGGGTGTGTACTTAATTTGGCAATAAGAGCACACCTAAGTGGCCCTGGCATTTTCGGCTGGGTATTAGACCACTGCCACCCACGGGCGCTGCTATTTTATCTCACATCGATGTGTCGGCAGTAACAGAAAGGAAACCAAAGGCAGATATTTGTTTATTAAGATGGAAAAACTCCACCGAATGCCGCAAGGTGCTCCTTGAGAGCAGGATTGCTGTAGACCAGTTTTCAGATTATGCCACCCACTACACTTTCTAACAAGGCTATTAGGGCTCTGATCTTAATAGCACCCGTACACGTGCCTAACCATAAGGATGGCTCATTCTACCACAGCCAACAGATGTGCCATAGCTCCCAAAAGGAGGCAATATCAACAGAAATGATTTTGCAGAGCTCCATGTTCACTTGGAAGGTGGCTGTCATCAGAAAAATAGGCTAAAATATTAAGCTTGTCATGGCACTTTGCAGAGATTCAACTGATTTCATTGCCTCTGTTTGCGTCAGCCCACCTCTGAAGGCTTATGATCTATCCCAGTCAAAGTGGACTTGCACAAAAACTCATAAAAGGCCTTTGAGATCTAAATATTCTGTCGAGGGAATACATCAGGCAGTACTTTCCAAAATTTCCCAAGGAAGGAAACTTCAGCAGACAGGAGATAAAATTATTGTGTAATTTAGTGTAAGTAATTTATCCAGATTTTAAAATACCACTTAACAAAGTTCCTCTCAAAAAGCTATGACAATGGCTGGGCTAAAATATTACCAAACAGCCCAAACTGTCTGAGAGTCAGAAAATAAACAGGCCATTTTCAGCACACCAGGAGGTCAGGATGGGGATGCCAGGAAATTCTCCACTGGGGCCAGCCTTGTTTGTGGATGGTGTGGAAGAGTGCTGTTCTTCCCTGGTCTGCGAGGGATTGCAAGAACGTCGGACAAAATCAGATGAAAGGGCAGTGGAGGCAGAGGTGAAACCCTGCCTAACTCCTGCCAGGTGACAGGGATGGAAAAGAAACATCTGGACTATTCAGACACAGCTGGATTTCAAAACTAACAGCGGAGGCAAGAAAGTGGGATGAAATTCTGCCTCTATTGAAGCCACCTGTAAAAAAGACTTCAGGACTTCACACCATGTAGAAATGTGACTGCCTTCCAGAAATCTGGGGACAAGGATAACCAGGAACAAAAGAACATTTCAGAGGAAATTGCTTTCTATTAACTCATAATTACATAACACAAAATTAACTCACAAAGGCCAACAGCTTAATTGGATTCCCAAGCAGGGAAGACAGTTGCGTGGTGAATAAGAACCTTCCACAGCTACCTTAAATATGGTATTTCAAATACAGAATATAAATTCTTCTGCCGTGCAGCAAAAAATGCCCATTACCTTCAATAGCTACAACCAAGGAGATTTTAACCATTTCCACTCAATCGCTGACCACTGCCAAACTACCTAGGTGACCCTACGAAACAGCTCCATTCTGGACGCCTCCTTGCACTTCCAGCCACACAGCTGAGTCCTAATTAATTCTGTGAATATATTTGGATATTTTTCTGAAGTATAAAGGCTTCCAGCCATCTTAACCTTCTTCCCATCTTGGATTTTGATTAACTGGAATAAATATTTAATTAGAAAGGCAAAGAGCTGAACCTCTTGACCACCCAGGCGCTGCCTCTGTAGTCATTGCCCTTTGATGTACGAGGAAAGGGTTTGTAGGACTTTCTGAAAACATGTGCAGCCTTTCATTTCTCTCAAAATCATAGCGAGGCCGGGCTGTATTTTGGGGTTTGCCCTCAGAAGCAGCATGGTGAACATTGCACAAAGTGATTCCTGCTCATCTTGGTCTGATGAGGGGAGGGGAAGCTTGCTTTGCCCTCCACAGCCAACAGGAGTTTGGGCATTTGTTTTCCAGGTCCCCACATCACTCATGTCCCCAGGAAAACCATACGGCTGGAAAGCTGGCCCTGCTGTCCCATGCTTGCCTGAATGCTGCCAGGTCCCACAGCAAACCTCGAGCAGCAACTGCCTGGCTAAATGTTTGCTGTGATGAGGTGTAATGTAGCCTCAGGAGGCGCGCCTGGTCACGGCCACCGCACAGCTCCGTGGGAGCTGCCAGCTGCGGCATGGTGGGTACCAGGCAGGACCATACCCTGGACGTTTTCCTCCTGTGTAGAGCACTGGTGCGGTGCTGACACAAGCCGGGTAACATCAGCACACTGCGTGTTGGGCTGTACGTCGGTGATGGCGCCAGGTAAGAGAGGTGCCCATTTCGGCTGTGCTCCCTTTCCCCTCCCCATAACCTGTGGTTCAACGGAGCACTCAGATACCTGCTTAAAAGTCACCGACTTCAGCAGGGCTTAGGCATGTGCTGAATCAAGGCTTAGGAAGCAGCTCAGCCCATGAGAGCGATCTGCTAGAACCGTCACCACCACTCTTTCGGGTTCCCTCTCCGCTAGGCTTAATTACTGCCTGCTTTTGGCACTGGCACCATTTGTGCCATATGCCTTTATTTTTCCCTGAAGGAGCATTTGCACCTTTACTATATTTATTTTATTCTGAGGAAATCCTAATGATTTCCCTTCATGCCTGATTTTGTTCCTGTTTGCAGCGGGACTCCTGCTGTCGCTCTATAAATATCTGACTCTGAAGTCTTTGCAGGAGCGAGCACGACTGAGAGCAGAAAAGGTGAAGTCAAGCTAAAGAGACCTTTACCAGCTCTAAAAACAGCTGCTGTTTTTGCTGCTGCAACTGATTTATACCTCATCTGAAGAACAACAGTTCAGAGCCCAGAATTGTTTCCTCCAATGATTTATTTGGCTGTGCTCGAGTTTGGCGACGTGCTGTATAATGTTTTTTGCATGGAAGTGTCACTCTGAGGGAGGTTTAATTGCTTTCAACGTGGATGGTGATGAGAACGCCTTGGAAAAGCTATTTGCATACATTTTCTTGAACGCCAAATGTGTAACTTCCTCCACGTTCAGGCAGTCTGAGGCTGCTTCCCTGCATTACTCAGCTTCGCTGGGTGCCTCTGAAAAATTAACAACCAGAAATTCCCCAGCATGGAGCAGAAAGTGAAACTCAGGGCCAGTTGGTTTGAATGCAGGATTATTTGTAACAGCTAAAACAGCAGGACTGAATATGGGGTTGCAAACTATAAACACAGACCACCCCAGGCCCCTGGCATTCAGGGCTCTACAGCCAACGCTGCTGCAGAAGTCCAGGGCGAAGCAAGGGCAAAGGCACCGCCCGGTTCCAGGGTATTGGCTTGACTTGCTGAGCAAAAGAAAGTAAATGAGCGATTTCAATAGCATAGGAGCGGTGTCAGAGCTGAGCTACCACCAAGGGCAGGGCACACACCTGCTCGTCACAGCACCCTCACCATCGCTCACACACCGTCTTCTCAGTACTGATTCTGGAAAACACTCACCAGAGTCATCCCTCTGATGACCTTCAAGCAAGGCCAGGAGGTGCCACGCACAAATCCCTTGTCCTTCTTTCTTCACAGAATTCAAGGGCAAAGTATCTCTTGAGTGGCCTTGGAGGTTTACGCAGCATCAGTCACGACAATCTGGTCTAAATAGATCTTTACTCCATCACATATCTCGCTACACGGCAGTTCATTTTTGTAATTACTTAATGTTTTGAAGCATCAGCTGTTGACATAAGCAGGACCCTGCCTATAGGAGTGAAATAGGTATTGATTTAATGCCCTCAGTGCAAGGGATCCTAAGGCACCTGGAAGCATCTTATTTCGGACCTACAGCCATCCCCCTACGCCAGCTTGCTGCCTGCCTGCACTTCCCCAGATACATACTCTTTTTCAGCCTAGATGTTTTACCTGGGGAGAAGAGAAGAGTTATTTACAGCAGTCCGGGATTTGCAGTCTGGTTGGCAGCGTTGTACAGCATTCCCAGCTGTGCTGCCACACACAGCAAAAATCAGGAAGAAAAAGTACAGCCTTTTGCTGTCCATCACACAGTGAATGTGCTGCAAGACCAACACCTTCTGGAAGCATCAGATTTGTTGTGGAGGTGCTGGGCAGCTGCGTACGTGTGTGTGTTAGATCAGCACCTTTCAAGCGCGATGGATTTGCTGAGCGTGTACAAACCATCTGCCCAGGAAAGCCACAAAGAAAGGCACCAGCCCTGGTCCCCCACACAGGATGGCAGCCCTCCTGTTCACCCACAGGGAAAGACAACAGTTGTGTCAGGGTGGACCTTGAAAGAGCCAGAGCATTTCCTGGTGGAGACCACGTTTCTGGTGTGACGGGGTTGTTTGTGCCAACCCGGACACTGCAACATGGCACTATTTGTGCTGCCAGCCAGATTTAGTTTTGGTTTGGTTTTGCACATGTGGCTGCATGTGTGCTGTGTATCCATGTGAACAACAGGAACAAGGGCTGCGGTCCACGATCAGGCTGAGCCTGCCCTGGTATTTCCTCCAGAGAGCTCAAGAGCTCAGCCCAAGCCCACTCCAGGGTCTGCAGCTGACAGTACGGAATGACCCAGGAACGCAGGGCAGGGCAGGAAAGGCAGAGCATCACCAGTGAGTACAGAAACGGTGGAAACCGTAGCAAAGCAGAATACAATCGTCTAAACTGGAATTTAATCAAGACACCAGGGCTCGTATTTGCTTGTTACGAACAACCTGAGCGACTACGTAACATAATTGCAGCCAGAAATATTCCAATTAGAAATCAGGCTGAATTTTGTAAGAGCAAAAGTGGAAGTGATAGTTTCTTTATTTCTTGATGTCACCCAGTTAAAGCAGTATAATTCCCTGGAATTTATGTGTCAGCCACACATCCTACCTTCCTGAAACACAAGCTATGGGGTTCATTACAGGGTTTTACAGACAATACTATGTGGCCTGTGATACAGAGGTGGCCAGCTGCGATGACCTAATGGGTCCGCTGGTCCTAACTGCTCTGTGTCCCCAGTCACCACCTCATGATTCACAGGGAAGAGAGGTACTCCCTGCATTACCAGCATGACAGCTGGTTTCAGCCAGGTTCGCAGAGTTTCTCATCTTATGCAACCTCCATTAGTTATTCACAACAGCTGACTGCGGCTAGCAGGCGAGTTTGCTAAGAACAGTGCCTAGTTACAACAACAAACCAGGCTTGGCTTTGCCACGGGCATATTTTTCTCAGATAAACCAAGAAAAAAAAATTTTACAGTGCGCAGTTCATTGTACGCAACCTGGATTTAAGCTGTTTAGTTTGTAAGGGTATTTTAAACTAAACAAACAGCTTTTTGTTAACATTTTCACTAGCACTGCAGATTTCTAGGTTTAGAATAACACTGATCACTTTGAGCCAGTACCGTTTTGCTGGGACGGAGGGATGGGATGTCATACATCGCAGTCGAAACCCTGAGATGCAACCATTTTTCTGGCAGTGTCCCTGAAATTAACTGGAATGAGTATCAGCCGAAGGCATGACCCTCAGGCTTTGCCTTGGCTTTCAGAGCCCGGGGGAGCTGCTGGGTTACAGCTTCATCTCACCCCGCAGCCGGGGAGAGCCATGGGCAGCAGCACTATGGCAATGGGCAAGGCACCCACTTCAACCCGTGTGCCATGGCTGGATGGAGGCAACAGAGAGAACGAGCGGCCGGATCTGTTGGAAGAGTCATTGCAGGGGTGAAAGGAGGCTGCCAGAGCTGATCTTTTCCTGGAAAGAGAGGAGGATCTAAGGAGAATGGCCTTGCCAAGGAAAGGAAACAATTCCTTTGCCCTCGGCTCCTGCTCTTTCTTCACCAGGTTCTCCTCCTCCAGCGCTGCCGGCTGCCGGGCACTTCGCTGCTGGACTGGGCCTGGCTGGGGCAGAGTGGAGTTTCTTCAGAGGCGCTGGTCGGGTGCTGTGTTTTGGATTTGTGACTAAACCAGTGCTGATAACACCCCAGTGTTTTAGCTGCTGCTGAGCAGGGTTGGCACAGCGTCAAGGCCTTTTCTTTTTCCCACTCTGCCCCCGCAGCAAGGAGGCTGGGGGGGTGAGAAGCTGGGAGAGACACAGCCAGGACAGCTGACCCCAAGTGACCAAAGGGGTATTCCATGCCACAGGACGTCGTGCTTAGCAATAAAAGCTCAGGGACAGGATGAAGGGGGGATGCTCGGGGTTGTGGTGTTTGTCTTCCCAAGTAACCCCTATGCACTTTCCTAGGAATAGCCAAACACCTGCCGGCTGATGGGAAGTGGTAAATGGTGATGGGAAGTGGTGAAACGTTCTTATATTCCTTTGCTTGCTTGTACAGCTGTGCTCCACTTATTAAACTGTCTTTATCTTGACCCACAAGTTTTTTTCTCCCTTTTGCCCTTCTGATGCTCTACCCCATCCCACCGGAGGGGAGCGAGCAACTGGGTGGGGGCTTACCAGCCCACCACACCTAGATAGGTTTCCTTCCATTCATCCTTTCTGTTTCTTTTGTTATATATCCCCTCTGTCCTATGAGATGGTTACCGCTCTTGCCAGCATTAAATCTTTGTTATTGTTGCTTTTTCACTTTACCTCTCTTAAATCTGTACTTCTCCCCTTATCTCTGCTCCAGGCTGCAGGAGCGATGTTGCTCTACCCAGGGCAAGAAAGGCCATATGGCCACGGGAAGGGATGCCCCTCTCTATGATACGGGGCCTGCGTGTTGTGTGTCAAAAGTGATTTGTGGAGTAGGTGTGAACAGGAGCTGTGTTTTATCAACACAGCAATTGCTGTCCTGGCAAGGGATTACAGAGATAACAGAAGAAGCAGAACATTCTACTAGGGAGACACTTTAGAGGAATGCCCATAAAAGCCACCACCAGCTGTCTCTGATGGAAAGGAGACATGAGAGGAAGCGTGGCCTACTAGTCAGAGCAGGAGTCAGCACATTCAGATTATTATTTTTCTCTTTGCTATCACTTTGCTGGATATCTGGACATCTGAACTGGATACCTGCATCATTCCAGCTGTGAAACTTCTCTTCCCCAGCAGAGGCACCATGGGCAGGGTAACGAGTGGACCTAAAAAATCTAGGTCCTACTGCTTGGATTCCCAACAATCTGCTAAACAGCACTGGGCAGAGATCTCCACTTCTCTGGCTGCATCAGGGCTACTGAGCAGAAGCAGGCTGGAAGCTGGGAAGACCCAGCTGG